TGATTTAGCCCCAGTGAGATCCTTGATCATATTCTGCTTTGGATTAACCATGATCGTTTCATAAATGCCAATCCTGCACCCAACTGCCAGGCAGATTCTCAAAGTCAAGGTTGTTAGTCCCTATTTGTATTGTATTCTCAATGCTCCCCCGTGGTAGGGAGCTGCCTTGGTGGCCAGAAAAGGAAAGCAGAAAGGCTGAGGGGCGCTGGGAGATCAAGGTAAAAGGATAGAACACTTGCCCTCAATGTGTCCAAAGTCTAATTAGGCAGATGAGCAGGATAGCATCATCTTTAGTTGTAAACCACACGAACCTGCTCTGGTTAGAACTCAGAAAAGGGATCTATTGAAAGAATATGAGGGAGCACACGTGATCAAAGGGAAATCTCAAGGGCCAGATTCCAAAAAGACAAGAACTTGGAGGCTTGGGGAGTTGGTTGAACTATCTCCTGAGAACATTATTTCTGCAACAAATCAGTCACAGCTCTTCCCAGGTTTTTTTTAAAATAACATAGTCTTAGAAGCATCTTTTATGTATTATGCTTTAGTTTACATAATATAATAAGCTCCATGATCTTACTCTTTTTCTTTTGTTTTTGTTGTTGTTAATCCTGACCCAAGGATATTTTTCCATTGATTTTTAGAGAGAGTAGAAGGGAGGGGGAGAGACACACAGGGAGAAACATGGTTGCGAGAAAGACACATAGATTGGCTGCCTCCCTCACGCAACCTGACCAGGACAGGGGATGAGGCCTGCAACCAAGGTACGTGCCCTTGACTGGAATCGAACCTGGAACCCTTCAGCCTGTGGGGTCGACGCTGTGTCCACTGTGCAAAACTTGCCAGAACTTCCCAGTCTTTTTAATTCTCTGCTCAAGATTCAACTGAGAGGGAGTTCTGCCTCCACTATGGCAGAGTAAGTACCAAACAGACTGGCCCCACCACAGACAACTGCTAATGATACACACAATGCAAAAGACAACACACGATGTTTGCCGGGAAGGAGCAAAAGCAGGCGCATTTTGAAAGGGAGTCAAAATGTAGATAAAGAAACTAACTCAAGGTGAGCTTCCTTTGGGGGAAGGTTGGCCTGAGTAAAGGCTGTCGCCATTGTGTGGCATAGGGTGTCTTCAAGTCTAGTAGAACGCCTGCCATCTTTTTGATCTAAGCAACCAAGGCAACTATGGCCATCAGGAATGAAGGAGGAATCTCAGAGCAGAGAAAACCAGAAAAGGTGAGAGTCATGATTTTTTACTGTAGAGGAGGTTCAGAAACTGGCTGGGATCAGATAACCAGGGAATGGCTAAGTACAGGTTGGGACCCAAAGCTGATGATGCCATGGCTCTTGGGCTTTGGTTGTGATTGTACTGCCTCTACCCACCGTCTTCCTAGTGTCTACACCAAGTAAGGAGAAAAAAACACATAAAGGATTCATTCTCCTGCTCACTAAGACGTTAAGAACTCAATTAAAATACCAAGGAGTTCTCAGAATGGAGACACTTCTGGTTGGCTGGTTAGGGACTATTGCGTAACATGCCAGCATGCCAGAGATGCCATCGGAGTGCCAGGGGCAAGATCTATTTTTGACCACCAACAGTCAGGGTGTGTCCTACTTTTAAGGAGCTCTAATAAACAGAAACCTGGATTTATACTAAAAGTACATTCATTGGTAATGAGTTACTTTGACTAAATCATGTTGAAGCTCATTCCATAGCAAGTTCTTCTCGTCTGTCCAATGGGATTTGATTTACAGTTGGAGGGGATTTTGTTGGGTAGTGTTAATGCAGCAAATCTTTAACCAGCTGTTATTTGAGCCTCCATAACTCCACAGTGGGGGACAAAGTCTAAGGCCAAGTGTCTACCGCCAGTCAAGCCACATGGAGTCTACTTAGGGACATGTGATCCATATACCAACAGACAAATATTAACTTACGATAAGAGCCAACTGAACACTGAATAGCATAGCCATTAAGTCATAGAAATTCCAAGGAAGGGAAAGCAATCACTTTGAAGGAGAGGAAACAACAGTTTGTATGAAATGCTTCTACCCACTTGGAGATCATAGGTACTAAGAGCCATAGGAGGTGAGTAGTCAGTGTGAGAGAAACACGAGATGGATGGTCAGATTTTTAGGGGAGCAGGTGTCCTGATGACATAGCTTTGGAAGGACTGGATCTGTCTGTCTGCTAATGAACATGCCCTGATTCTGCAATCTTTCAGCCAACAGATAAAATAGAAGCACACCCTAAATCCATCTTGGTAGTGTGTTTCTTGTAATAAAACCTGGAATGTCTTTGGAAGTGCACTTGGAAAACTTAGTTATATTAACTGCTTTCAGAGAGGGGTGCTGGAGGGATGTGAGAGGTTTTTCACTATATACCCTTTGAATTTTGAATCATATTCACGATTACATTTTTTAAATCTGAGGATAAAATACCAGTGTGCTGAACAGAATAAATGAGTTAGGAACAAATGATTTAAGAGCACTACCATCATTACAGGATGCTCCATCACAAAATAAGCAAATAGCCGAAACCGGTTTGGCTCAGTGGATAGAGCATCGGCCTGTGGACT